TTTTTGATCATTCAATTATGAAATTATTTTACAAATATTTTCTCGATCGCTTAACAAGGAATCAAATTGAAATACCCAATATTCCCTGTAAATGAGAATGGATTGAAATGAATTAATATCTGAGGTCATAAATTCATTTTTGTTATTAAACATTTATAATACTTTCTTTCTAAATAGAACAGTATTTTTATATTAATTTCGATCGAAACAGGAATATTCCTATTCAATACGCTTATAATAAGATATAACTTCAGAGTTTACGTATTTCCGTCATAACTTTTTTTATTTAAACAAAAGTGCGTATTTTCATAATTTTGAACTATGGTGTATTCATAGCTTACAAATTAGCTATGTTGAAATTTTTTTTTTAATTGAAGTGAATTTAAAGAGACTGTTCTTATTCATAATTTTGAATTGGGATGTAAGCTAACTTATTTATGACATAAGTACTTTTGGACTCAAATGGATAGAATATATTTATTATTATATTATTTTTTTTATTGAAATGAATTAAAATATGAAAGAGTTATTCATCATGCCGAAATCAGATGTATTCACGGTTTCAAATGGATTCGACAAATGGAATCAAAAGCGCGAATTCGGAAACGTTGAAATGAATTCATTTCTATAATTCATTTCAATTTAGTCTGGATTTTTTTCTCTTATTTAATAAGTACAATAACAATTATGCTTTATCTTGAATAGATCAATTTAAATCGAATAAAATTACTTTGAAATGATTGTAGCACAGACATCTGTGGACTGTAGTATCAACGCTTAAAGTTTGCAATGATTCATAAATGTTATCCGAAGTGAAAATAAATAACAAAAGAATTGCAAATGTGCTGCGGACATTGCAAGTTAGCACAAAATAATATAAATGTTTTGAAATTTCATGGCTCAATCTTATCCTTTGTGAAGGTAAAAACTTCTGTAAGAAATTTTTTTAGTAAAAAAAAAGAATTACAAACATGCTACAGGTGTTGCAAATGGATTTTTTCAGAATTATGAGATTTGTCCCGAGCCAAACTACATTTATACGCTTTTGCTCTGCCGGATTTGAATTTTGACGCGCTTACGCATTGCAATTCTTAGGGCGCATTCGCACCTTGACAGAAAAACAGAAAGCGGAAAAACAGCAGTCAATCAGAACACGCGGTAGTCGACAATTTCGGCTTTTTGTACTACTTACTACCAGCGCGAGTTATGATTGGCCACTACTTTTCCGCTTTCTGCTTTTCCGTCAAAGTGTGAATGCGCCCTTACTATCCTGCAGTATTCGACAAATAGTGAATAAGTTAAATAATAGTAATAAACACAAAATGATTTAAATGCTTTCAAATTTTGTAGATCGATCTTATTTTTTATGAAAGTAAAAACTTCTGTAAAAAATTTTTTTAATAAAAAAAATCATATATTATAACTTATAACACAAATAATTATTATTATATTTTGTCAAGATTGGCTTTTTCAAAAATAGCAGAACTTTCACTCTTTTTGAGTGAGACTCACTGCAAAAATTTGAGAGAGAGAGAGAGAGAGAGAGAGAGAGAGAGAGAATATATAAATTAAATACTAACATCTTCCTGTCATTTTATTTTACCATTGAATATCTTTTGCATTTTATTTAAATATAAGTGATACATTTCATTTAGAGACCACAATTTCTAATTTACACACGTGTATATTTTTGTTTCTAAATTACAAAAAAAATAAATATGCATATATTTAATTGTGATATTTAAATGATTTATCTGTCTCAATTCAAAGTGAAAAGCACGTATTGCTTTATCCAATGGAATGACTTCATAAAATTTCAGAGAAAAAAGACTTGACAATGACCTTGATATTATTAAAAATGATTTATGAATCACTCTTTAGTAAGACATGTTTTATATAGTGAATCATATAAATTTACGAACTTAATATATGTAGTAAAAAGGAAAGAAATTTTTAATTATTTTTTTATACAAATTAAATTAGTTATTATACCATGTGTACTAATTAACATTTAACGCATATTAAATTTTTTATATTCTTTGTTATTCTTTTTTACACTTATACTTTTTAGTATCTTTCTTGCATTTTATTTTGAAACAAATATACGTAACTAAGATATACATTTCTTAAGAATTAGAATTGCAATCATCAAAATATAAGCTTATAATATGTTAATATTAAATACAATATGTAAAATAAAATTTAAAAAATTTCTTTAATGCATATATGTTGATTAGACATTATAATATAAAATATTGTTAATTTTAAATAAAATAATAAGAAAATAATTAGATATATACGCGGTCTAAGAATTTCGCAGATGAAATGGATTTGTCGAAACAAAAAAGCCACAAATAAATTTGATATCATGATGTCACACTACTTTAACCATCAGAAATAAAATGATGATATAAAATGCATTTTTATACAAGACATATTTACATATAATGTAAAAGGGTAGACAACATACAAAAGTTGAAACATGATCAATGTTGAAATTTTCGTTATCAAATCTTTGAAATAAAAGAAGCCTATGTTGTTCTGTATGGATCCTAAAGCTTATAATAAAAATTAAAGTTTGAAAATATATTTCAGTTAAAGAGCTCTTTTCTGATACTTGAGTGCTAGGCTATTTAACGGCGGTCTAGCTTTCAGGATTCCGAGATCAATGGCGTGTCCGGTGAGAGGACAGTTTTGGCATCGTTTACGTCTGTAATTGGTATTGCAAGTACTTTTTTCTTGTCGCACTATGTATCTGGGAAAGTAATGAACGCGCTTCCTTTGCGTTGTTGCGCACGACGGCATCGACACCACTAGATCCTGCCTGTGAATTCTGCCTACCGGTTCTGGAAACAATCGCTCGTTCAGCAGATACTGCTGCAACGATCCTGATGATCTGGATGATGTTAAGGTATGGCCTGAGCCATGAGTTTCAAAATAGTTTTGTTCTCGGAACTTTTTCAGATGCTCTACTTCCTGATCCATGGAATCATCGACTGCAAAACTATCGTAGTACCTCAAACATCGTTCACAATATTCCGGTAAATCACTCTCTGCACGCTTATTACCGCCCAGCTTCGCAGTCTCCCTCTCCAGTTTCCTTTTGCAGCAACAAGAACAATCTTGCTTATGTAACCGCGTTGTTCGTTTATCTCGCATCGGTGATTTTGACGCGGGTCTTTCGCTTGACTCTGGTATATGTCTCCTGGATCTGATAGTCTTTCGTAATGTTGACTTTGACAACTTTCGCGGAGATACTTGAGTTCTTTTACTCGAAGCGCAGGTGATATCATCGGACCCGTTTTGTTCGCTCGCCAATGAATTTGCAGGCACCGTTGGAGATTTTTGCCTCTCAACGCATTCACTCAATAATGCCGTTCTTTCATCAGTGACAGTATCCTGCATCCTCGCATTTGTCATAAATCGGTGGTAACTGGATGATCGCGGACACGTCCACAAAGAGTTTCTTTTATCTGCAGTCCGTAACTCACAGATCTTGCTTTGTACATTGCGAAGGAATTGAGATTTGGGAGCGTAGTCGATTTTTTGAACTCTTCTAAGCGTCTCACAGCTGATTGGTGAAGTTGATGCCACTTTGTGGCTAATTTTTTCGACAGGTTTGATTTCGAGTTCACTTCGGCAATGGCAGGGCGACGCTGGTTTGTGCTGAATTCTCGACGATTTTGCATGCGTCTTGATCGCCTCAGAACAATAACAACCCTTTACTGGCTTTCTAGGCATAACTTCTAAACATTGCTCTTGGGGTTTCTTAGATGTTAGCGTAAGTTTTCTAGATGCTAACATATCGGGGATTAGTGCAGTTGCACGTTTTGGATTGATGTGAAGGTACTCCAGACACAAAACAACAGATGAATCGTTGTAATTTTTATAAAGTGATGTTCTTTTCTGTGTAATAATTGTTTTGATTCTTGTGATTACAACAATTTATCAAAGATCTCAAATTAAATCTATTAATCTGTAAAGAGATAATAAAAATTAAGTTAATTTAAGAAAGGGATTTACAGAGAGAGGTCTGTTCTTTTCAGCTGAACAGTTCATTTTTCTCTTTTTCTTTTCATATTAAAAAGAAAAAACATAAGAGGTCTGCATGCAAGAAGTTTAGCTAAAAAACAATCCTCATATTTTTACTAATATGCAACATATACTTACAGAGTTATAAACATAACTTGTTCACTTCAGCATCCATTCTTCCAAGATCTTCATCAATGCATACTAACAACATTCTTTTCTTGCATAATTTTTTCAGGTTGTCATTCAGTGTCTCTGCTGTGTCTCAAACTTAAGGAATATTATCATTAACATCATATTATGAAATTAGATCATTTTAACTGTACAAAATACCATCATTACAATAATAATTAATATATAATCCAATTTATATATTAATTAAAAATAAATTAAATATAAACAATGATATTATAATAATCCAGAATGTTGATAATAGTTTTATTTAACATTGATTCACAATCTTCAGCCGCAATTTTTACACGAAACTTATCAACGGTGAAAACTCATTGAAATTATCATGTTGTCTCTATTAACTTTTGCTTCCAACAACGTACTTTGTGCTCCAAGAACTTTAAAGTTTAACGCAGTTTAACGTCTTCACACATACCATACTAACCCATACTAACGCATAAGATTGTCATCAACGTGAAGTTTGATGAGAGTTTAGTGTAAACAAAAAGGGACGCTCCAGGTTAGCCAAATTTCAAAAGATATATTCTTCTTGCGTTCGAGCACTCAGCTTGAGAAATCAATTATTATCCATCAGAAAAAAGTTACGTCTTATCGAAATTACGATATAAATTTGCGCACTATTAAAATTTCTTTAAGCGCCGACAATTTATTTCGTGCTGCCTATGGTACAGAGAAATTTCGTTCGCTCATCCATCCGCGGCAACTTCATGGCGCTTTGCAACAGTGGCGAGTGCCGAGTGCGCGCGCGTCGCCATGTTGATCATTTGATCATTGAATCATATGGAACGACGCCGTCCGCGGACGTGTTTCGCGGTCTTTGAACGTAGCTAATTTTAACTAGGTAAGGCATTACGTTGCTGTATCGCACGACGATACGCCGTAGATATCTTAACTCGTTGCGTAGCCCTGCTGAGCGAGATGTGGCTGATCTAATCCGATTTTGTCATTCCACGCGGTCAGGTTATCCGTTTGTAGGTTAGGAACGCTACATCTCGAGCATATTCTTTGCACAGGTTATTACGCGTGGCGTTATGGATTTACCTGGGAACGGAGCATCGCGCGATCTCGTTAAATGTCCTCTAACGTTACCGCAGTTCTCCGAGCTGCGTTCAATGCCGACTGCCGCAGCCGCTGCAATCGCCGCCATCGCTGCGGCTGATAGCCGTAGCATGCAATCGCAGGGGGTGCAAACCACTGTCCAAGCGGTCACGTCTCCGCAAGAGACTTCGGTGAGTTTTCTTTTGCTTTTTTTACACTGTATTTCCTCTTGTTAATTTTGGTTTGACATTAAAATTTTTTTAAATTTCCTTTCTCTTAGACAAGTACACTCAGCAAATATCTTGCGACACCTTTACCTGGCTGGCAGGATACTTTGATTCAATTGTGCGAGAAGCAAGTGCTTAACATAATTAATGTCCCCAGTTATAGTCAAAATAACATGACACTCGGTGCACAATCGAGTAATTTTAGTTTTATTAATAGTCTATACTTACCTTCTACGTCGCAGGCAGATACTGTAAAGCAAGACATAGATATCCAGCCTAAAGAGGAGAAAAATTCAGACAAGGTGAGATATTCTTCGAATATTGTTAATTCTTAAAATTATTTCTACATTACTCATAGATATATTTTCTTGTTTCTATTATAGGAATCTGAAATTCTGTTAAAGCAACACCAAACAGCAGCAGCCATGGCTGAATACTTACAGAAATTACCATCTGAATTTTCTCTGCGAGAAGCGTTTGGGCTATGTGCAGAAGTAAAAAAGGAGAAGACACGGGAAGAGAAAGTAGAGCACGTGCAGAATAATATTCTAAATATACCAAATATCAGAAACATTTATCTACAAAATGGCAACAATTTTGCAAACTCGGATCAGATGACCATGACTGTTAATCCGAGCGATTTGAATCTGCAAAATGAACAAGAAATTGAAAACAATTTGCGAAATGTTCTAAAAGTCGAGCAGCAAGTACAAACCGATTTGCCAAAAATCGAGAAAAAATCGAAATTTCGAGCGAAAATTAGCGAGATTAAAATCAGTGTTAACTACGACGGAACTACGCTTTATTGTTGCCCGGAGTGCAATTTAGGGTTTCCAGACAAGGCGGACATCGAACAACATATACAGGCTCATCTTCAAGTACATATATATTTTATTATCTTTGGAGACTAGATAGCTAAGAAAATATGTATTAAGTAAAAAGTTTTAATTTATTTCAGGAACGAAAGTACCAATGCAAAGAATGTGGTGCCATGTTGAAAAGAAAGGAGCATCTTGATCAGCACATGCGAGGTCATTCGAACGAGCGACCTTTTAAATGCGAGGTATGCCAGAAGGCTTTCAAGAGAAATGAACATTTAACAAGACATACCGTCATCCATTCCGGCAACAAGGATTTTCCGTGTACTATGTGCCAGAAAGCGTTTTCGCGCAAGGACCACTTAAACAAGCACTTTCAAACGCATTTTGGCATTCGTAAGAACAAAAAGGAAGATTCTTATTATACCGATCAAAAAGATACAAGAATATTCGATAACAGTACCGATATCGCGGCGTCGCCTAAGCAGGAGGTGAGCTATATTTTAAAGGACGGTTCCTTAATGAAGCAGGAAAATATTGCATACGTTCGCTTCTATTAAAGAACAAGTGATTAAAGATGTAAATCTGTCTGAACAGGCGCAGAGCAGTAATATGAATGAAAATGCAAGGTATTTAATGCCGTCTTAGTTGTAGGTAAAATCCATGTATGTTCCAAAGCAATATATGATTGATGGAGTTGTAGGTAATTTCAATTTTTGAATTCATATTTTGTCATTGAAACAACTATGACTATTTCAAATTTACAGTTTAATTTTAATACGACGAGAAACGTTTTGACATTAAATTAAAAGCATACATAGTTAAAAATACGAATCGTGAAATAAAAATATCATATAGTCCAGCTCCTCTATTCTAAAGTCATTGGGACCGAGCATATTTTCTCTATTCTACAATTTCTTCTCACAGTTAGTCCTCATTTTTAGAAGATATTGCACGATCTGTTTTTTGTTTGATGTTAGTTGAGCATAAAATACAAGCGTAATGAAGCAATACAAGAGGAGAAATTCAGTTTAGAGGAGGTAGCTAACTTAGAGTAGAAGAAAACTTAGAATAGAGGAGTTCTTTATATTATACATCAATCTTGCATCTTTAATGCGTTAAAACGTCGAAATATGTGCTGAGCTATGAGATAAGCTGTGATTATCTGAATTTATCGTCTTTGTCTTTCCATTGTATCATCATTCCTCATTTTCATTTCATATTTTTATTTTTCAAAAATTGACTTTTACAGTTTCAAGAAAATATTGATTTAAAAGTACGAGAAGCTTTTGTTCAATAAAATTTTGTTTCAAGTTAAAATTTCTTTTTTAAACTCACTTAGTAATCACGACATACTCAACATATAAGCAAACGCACATTGTAGTTTTTCTTAAATTAAATTTCGAAGGAATGGATAATGGCTAATGTGTTAACTATATTACTCTAATCGCCTTAACTCTTGGAATTTTAGAGACATAGGATGTATTTTAAAAATTTATTCCAAGATTTTTCTTGCGTCCTATATAAAATGAATCTTTTAAAACGTAAATAAAAAATCGATAAGAATTAATAAGTAAGGGAAGGCCAATTTATGTAATTGCACGCTTGTCTGCCTTACTTAAGTTAGCCATAGGAAATATTAGTTATTGTCAACAATTCTAGTCCATGTCGTAATTTTTAATTTTAATGCCTACTTGCATTAAGCAAAGACTCATTTTGGACATTTGGACTGTTTCGCGATAACTAAAACACATTTACACTAAACCTACGTAAATAATGAAATATAAAAATACTTTTGAAAGATACTGCTAAAATATTAAAGCGGAAGTAAATTTGCCGATTTGTGAATAAAAAGGGTGTCTCTTAAAAGAAGAATGCTATTGAATAATTATTTTGTAGTTTAGATATTTGAAAGTTTCTCGCTCTTTTTATCATACGTACTATTTTTGTTGTATGTATTTTTATTTTATTAACTTGAATTCGGAAAATAAATAAGCCAAAAATCGCGAGATCATAATGGCACAATACGAATTTAGTTAATTTCTGACATTCGAATTGATATATTAACCCTTTCATACCTCCGGGACATATATGCTCCACCAATGAAAAAAATTATAACTTTTAAATAAGTCGATAATCTTATCGACTTTTATCTCGACTTGTTTTAGAGAGAAGGTTTAAGCTTTATCAAAACTTTGCAAAAAATCAAATTTTTGGATAGTAAAGAATAACCGTTTATTATGTTGAAAAATCATAGAATCGATGCTAATTATAAAGTCTTATTTAAATGTGGTTACAACTTTATTATAATATAAATATTATAATAATTTATATATGTAATTCCACATTCATCTCATTCGGAGAACTTTTACCGTTCTAAATATATTTTAGGTTGAATAGTCGTGTGTATTTGTACATGTATGCTACGATATATATTGAAAAAAATAAAATCCAAGCTCATATTTTAAATATACCGATATTTCAGTTTTTCATGATCGTCATTTTGAATCGGTTATTTTGAATTTAAATTTTGATAGTAAATATGGAATCAGTACTTGGAGGTACGAAAGGGTTAAATAGAAATTTAAAATTTGATCGCGGACATTGAGGTACTGTTAATGATAAACGGAAATAGTAAACGATATACTGCCAAAAATTTTGTTAAAAAGTTGTACACATTATTGTCAGACAGAACACTTGCAATTGTGGCAAAATATTACGATAAGGGTCGAAGTGCATTTGGTCAGAATAATTTGACCAAAAATATCTGAGAAATATCAATATTTCATCTTAATAGATGTCTTGAATAATATTTATAGGTTCACGTTGATATAATTCAGAAATATATTCCAAACGAATATTATAGTTTTGTAAATTATAATTTCGTAAACTATAATATTTAAAATTGATATCCTTATAGGTGATAAAATGTGCTAAAATGCATTAAGTGACATTTCTTCGAATAGCTTTCATTGATAATATAATTTTTCAAGATAATTTTTTATTTAGATCTGTCATTTTTTTATCTTTTTTCCTAAGTAAATCATTCATCATTGCATTTTGCCATGTCATATTCTTGAAGATTGATTTTTATGGTCTCAAAAAGATGTCGCCGGTTAATACCTAAAAGTATAACAAAAATTTGTCTGTTTGATAAAATTTGATATTAATTTTCAATAATTCCTTTTGTAGAATTTGTGATTTATATGGATAATTATGTTTTGAGAAACATTATTCTTTTACTTTATTAGTATTTACTTAAATGAAATTAAAAAAAAAAGTAAGATTATGATTACTTAAAAAAAATTATTAAGTGAGTAAAGTTAAATTGATAGTTTTGTATATCAGCGTTTTATATTTGGTATTATTTTTAAGATATTCGTCTATTCGACACTTCAATTTTAATTTGTATGTATATTAGAGCGAGAAATCGTCAAAAAACTTCCATGCGCTGTTATCTAATGTTTTCTTATATATTTGCAACATACGCAACTGTATGTATGTGTTAGTATATGACTTAGAAGACGGTATTAAAAATCAGGGTTGGGTAAGTTAACTTTTTTTTTAACTAAGTTAAGTTAAAGTTAATAGCCTTGAAAATTTAACTTAATTAAAATACAAGTAGATCCATAATGAAATTTAATTGAATTAAAAGTTAAGTTAATAAAAAAAGTAATTGAAAAGTTAAAAGTTAAATTTGGTCCGAACGAACAACCAAAAAAAAAAGAAAAAGAAGTTTGACCATTTTACATAATATTTCGTATTTTTCCTTTCTCACAGCATATTTATTAAAGAATCTGGTTATTTTTGTTCACAAGTAATGATTATACAATATAAAATTACTAAATTATATACTCGTTATCCCCTCGCATTGTCTGAGGATTAACTAAAAAAAAAATTAAATTAAAAGTTAATAAATTTAGTTACTGATAAAATGTAACTAAATTAAGTTAAAATTAATTAACTTTTTAACTTTTTAACTTAATTTTTATCTTTTTAATTTAGTACTACCCAACCCTGCTAAAAACATACCGGATTCTGGTATCACGTAATACAACCAAAGACTTCATACACACACGCGTACATCAAATAGCAGTATTCTAGATCATTCGCGCTGGGGTCTTTTTTTTTTAATTCTTTATAAGTCACCTTGATAGTATAATTATTGAGAGAATGAAGGATCTTTGCATAAAAGAAGGAGCGATGAGACATCTTTTTCGAGATGGTTTTCATGACGATATTTCTCAATTTTTCTTATTGAGATTAGAGAGATAAGATAATAGAACTTTTTAAACAGTGAATGTGCATTTATAGGACTCGTGTTTAAGCACTGTTTTGGACAGTGGATGTGCGTTTACAAGACTTTATGCATTTATCCCGTAAGAGAATTGTTATTGTATAGTGATGGCGAAAAAAGATAACTAAAAAAGTAACATGTATTTTTCAGATTGAAATATTTTTGAATAAAATGTATGTAATGTAAAAGATTGCTGGTTCTTTATACTTCTCATGAGTCACTTTATACTTCGTCAGGTGTGTGCAGTCTACGGTCGAACGCTGTAGAAAATACCATTATGTTATGTAGTCTTACGTAACGTCATACAACGAAATGACCGTCTGTGACACTAACGCGGAAGTATTAATACATTGAACTTTACATCGTCTAGAGAACGAACTCTTTGTTCTACTCGGAGCTCTGACAGGACGGTATAATATTTCATATTCGTATAATATAAGCATCCTTTACTTTACTCGTATAATACGGGAATTAGCAAAGCGTTAAAACATCATTATTTAATCTTGTGTAATTTTATTTATTATATAACGTAAATTTTATTTATTTTATATTTTTTACAGCGGAATACAGCAGCGCAATATGACAGCAGTACAAAGGTATAAAATTATTCGATATCTGCTGTCTTCACTCTCTTTGTGCTCCTCTTTCTTTTTTCCTTTATATGTTATATATGATACTAAACGTATTAAACTGATATTAAATTCTCATTTGATATTTACTCATACTCTTGGCGTGCCTTTAATATTAAATGTAACATTTTTCTGTATTTAAACGCAATTTTTATATTGGATAAATTAAAATTGCATACACTTGGACTTAATATGCATACAAAGGAAATACGAGCCAACACAGATTATTTATATGACAAACGTATATTATTTAAACAAATATTATAAATTTTCGTTTCGGTCCTTAATTGGATCATTCTCGGTACACATAGATTGACAACTGTGTGAACGAAAAATGAACCATTAAATTTTATGTACGGTACCTAATAATCGGTTGAATACTAGTAAAAAATCGTAATTTAATTACAAAAGTCAAGAGGTCTACGAGATATAATTGTCAGGTGAGTAAAAATTCATTTCGTGAGGCACATGCGATTATAAAGTCGATATATAGTTATTGTTTGTATCGAATAAATTAACTTATCACGAATTAAATTATCTTATTTAATGTGCAAATTTATAAATAGATTAACGTAATATGGTTTCTCATCTAACGTATTTTATTTTACTTTTTGTCGTTTTATTTTATCATTGTGCCGGTTGCATTGTCGTGCTTTTCGTTTCCACAAGCAGCGCTCGATAATTTACTGTAAATGCTATAAGTAAGCCCGAAAAGAGTTCCAAGCCACTCAAGCAGATGACGACCCACCGTCGTCGGAAGGGTCGTTCCTGGCGTCACGCTTTCCACCTCATTTTTCTTATCCAGCTCTTCGTCTTGCAGTTCCAGTTGTTCCAAAGGTTCAATGTCATTGAACCAATCGTCATCAGGTAGTATTTTAACTTTATCAGAACTCTTTTTATTGGAGTTCGTAGAGCTCACATTATTTTCGTTGGTTTTTGTTTCGACGGATGAATCTTTCTTGAGATTACTCGAAGTCGCTTTGCTGTCACGATTCTGTGGTATCGACAGTGATTTTATCTGATCCAGGAAAGTATTGTTGGGATACTTGAGATTTGTATAGTTATTTTTTAGCGTGTCAGTTGATATTAGTCTCAAAGCTTGCAAATTAGGATTCGATGCGTTCTTCGCTAGGATTTTTTCTACGTTGCTGGTGTTATCGGATTGTTGGAAAACAAAATTGTATGTTGTGCGTAGTTTTTCCCAAAATTTATCTAACGATTTCGTGGTATCGTTAAATTGTTTGTGATATGCCGTCAATCCTTCCACTGGAAACAGCTTCGTTATTTGTGGCTTTGATTGCACTCTCGTGGCGAAGAGCTGCGAGATACATTAAAAATTACGGAAGTTTATGATTTCATATATTTTGACAGAAGCATTTTTTAAAATATTTAAATATATTTAAATATAATTTATAACAAAAATTACAAAATCTTTCTATCTTTATTTTAGAGTAAATTTTTAATCAGAATAAATTTATTTATGAGAGATTACTAGGTTTCTCTAAAAAATTAACACAGACAGGCACAGAAATATTGTTCAATATTTCGGGTGAATCTTCTTCATAAAATGAATTTTATCGGATGTGATGTGGTAATATACTGCGGACAGATGATACAATATATAATCGTGCATTGCAATACGTTCACTCACTGAATCTATCAGTGTTGTGCGGTAGTTTCATTTTCATGAAAATTATAAGTTAGCAATCGCGATTCTAACTGGTGATTTCTATGCTCTGATTAAGAATAAATACTATTTACTGCAAAAAAAACCTGTCACTATGAGACGGAAATAATTATTAAATTTTCCGCGCATACGATATTCTTTCCAGTTTGGAAGTTCATTTGATAAAATATTCCGTAACAGAAAGTGTTACCAAAAGATTCAACTTGGCTTTCACGTCAAGCATAAATTCTATATCAAATATGATTTAGCAATGATCAGCAAAAGTTTAATATTTTATTAAAATTGATCGTAAAAAGGTTCTTTGAAAAACCTTAGTTAATGTAAGTTTTAGCAGATGCATTGATAATAGAAAACCATAAATGCACTCTTATAAAAACAACGACTTATAGATAAAATTGATTAGAAATGAAATGATGGTACAATTTAAATTTATAATAAATTATAAAAATTGTAGTATAGAATTAACATCATTTTAACAAAGATGATAATATTCTGATAACCATTTCCGAAAACTATTTCATAAATCTTTATAAAATTTTTATCAGAAAGTCTATTAGTAGGAAGAATTTAATATTTTTATATTTAATATTTAAAAATAGAATTAAATATTGTATTTTTATTAAATATATTTACTTGTTAAAAAGAATTTAATATTTTATTTAAAATTATAACTAAAGAGAGGTTTCTATTAGTGTTCGCAAAAAATTTAAAAATTAAAGAAAATTTTATCATTTTGACGAATGTGTGTGTGTGTGTGTGTGTGTGTGTGTGTATATAATTGGAATTAATTAATTTTTTTAGTTAAGATACTTACACAAAAAAGACAGTATCCCAAGAGCTTCATATTTCAGAAAATATTTTTCGATATGACCAGATATGATTTCCTTGCACAGTCCGGGCGATTGACTGAAGGCCCCCTTCAATTTCAAAACCTTTTTATACTTACAGTGCAAGAGCGTAAACGTGCATCACGATTGATTGGCTTTCGTGGCTTGTGTGTCCATTGTCTTTCGCCTGCGCCTCTGCGAGCCATCGACATAGAGTTTCCCAACGGAATTGATAGTCGTGGCACGCATGGTTGCTTCGCGGCCAAATCGGCTCGGCTTGTCCGAGCGATTTACAATATAGCTCCCCGATTTTTATGGCAGGTCAAGGTATTGCCACAAGCACGTCATCGCTTCATCATATTGAAATTCGTATACTGCGAAAATTGATGGATTGTATCTCGTATTAATCCATGTGCATCGAATGCGCAAACGATGAAATGACTATATCCGATAGCTTTTTTAGCGGATCGCATACATCACGTCTTTTTGTAAAATGCCAAGCGCGGTACATATAGGGAGAAAATGAAATTTCGAAAAATATTCTTGCTTTTGCTTCTGATGGTATCATCAGAATGCGTGATTTATTTAACAAAACGGGCACATTTGTGGATAATAGAATATACATGAAAGTAAAATATATGTGTATTGTATATGTATATTTATGTAGTATAAATTTACAATAAGAACCCTAAAGGGCAAGTTTTACGCTTAGCACTGGCGGTCATGTTACAATCACGTTCAAATTATTTAAATTCCTTTGTATAAAATCGCGGACTAGTTATATATCTGTCTTGATAAAAAAGCTGATCTTATGTTTTTTTTTATATATTTATGTTTGAACACTTAGATGTAAGATATAAAGAAAAGAAAAGTTACTTGTCTTTCTAAAAAAGTCTCTTTCAAATTTCTACGGAATTAGTTTACTCACCAGTTTGCTGACAATAAAATCTTTGTGGTTCGATTGGTTGTGGTTGGCGAGCATTAAAATGTAAAATATGAATCGATTGTGTGACACGACTAAGGAATGTCTTTGCTTATGAGTTCGTTCGATCATTACTATTGATCCGGTAATACATAAAGAGTAAAAGGAGATTATTGAAGATGATGGTTTCAATTAAAACGAAAAAGGAGGAGGGTAGAAAATAGTAGCAAAGTGTGCTAAAGTGGATCGTTAAAATTTTTACGCGTTTACGTTAGCTTAATGAAAGGGGCTGATGCGCGAGGGAGATCAGTAGCACTCGGGAATAAATCACGAAAGATTTAATAGTTGAATCGAGTTTTACGAGGCAAATGACGTTAATGGAAAGATAAAAAGGATTTATTACACAGACGAGCAATTACAGTACTTAGTTACTACAAATGTGCATAAGAATAATTTCGATCTTTTTCACGATGAATTTCCCAATCGATCGCAAGTAACTAGAAGCGAAAACTCGGTGAAAAGTTATCATAGATATAGCAAATAGTAAGACAGCACAATATTTTTAAGGTGCAGAACTGCTTCTTGTTCGCATACCTTAAATTGTCTATTAATTCGGGAATTTTATGCGCGATAATCGCGGCATCGTGCAATCCTTCTTGAAATATTGAAGATAGTTCGTTATATATTTCGTAAATGCATATATAGAAATTAATTGTATCATTTATATTATTAATCTAATCAAGAAAAGATCGAGGTTTCAATGTGAATTGCACGATATTTAAATTATTGCGATAACATGAATCGTAAATCGCAACTTGTCATTTAACAAGTTAAATTTTGTAAAATTTCGGAATTAACATTAGTAAGAGAGATAATCGAAGCGTGTAACATCTAAGAAAAGTGCTAAAAAGATGAAAATTACAGCTTAAGTTCCTACAGACATAGAATCTAGAGTCATGGATTTTCGAAAATTGACAACAAAAGGATATTATAATTGTAGAGCGAGAATAGATGTATCGAAATAATATATACATGTACGCGTAGTATATTGATTGTCGAGTAAAAACAAAAACTTCCTAATTAGCTATTAATGCCTCGATTGAGCATCACAAGAACTTTTGGTCATGGTATCGAGTGTGGAGATTCGTCACATCTAAATCGTTTGATATAGTTATCTATCTAGTTTAAAGTGTACTTAATCTGCATAAAGTGTGTATACGCTATATTTAATCTATTACAGAGAGATTTAGAAACATAGTGCGCGTCTAATACCGGGTACAAAATATCCTGTGCAATCTGTGATAAAGAGTATATCGCATTGTGTAAAATGCACATACGAATGTATATATATATATATATGTATATCTATAACCGTTTAAATAACAATAATTGTATACCCGTAACAATTCGGAGAAATGTCTACTGACAGTAATTTGCATCGAAGTGCATACAATTAATTAATCTTTTAATTTTGTAACTCTTTTACTCAAAAATAGTTGTAAAATAAAATAATATAAAAATAAATAAACACTGCTTTCCATTTGATGACACAAATAGACACAAATCGACATAAGCGTCGTTCTATCCTTCTTGACATTTAGAGAGTGACAAAGATAGAACGACACTTTTGTCGACTTGTGTCGACTGTGTCTCCTAAAAGGAAAGCAGCCATAGTAGAGCTAGTCAGAATAATTAATATTACATTTATCTAATATTAGACATGACATATAATTTAAACGCAATTACTATCAATAGACAATTCATCCGATATTTCTGGAAGGATTCCTAGATCTATATTAGCATCTCCTTTAATTCCAAATGCAACTGCCTACGCTTTCAATTAGACAAGCGTACTTAGATTAGAATTAATTACATGACGATGCAATACAGATCTCATTTCATGAGGCGCTGAATATATCTAGGAAATGTAAAAACATATTAGGAAGTGTATGTATATTGTTTTTCTTCAGGGCGATTAATTCACCACTTTCATAAAGCTCGTTATTCCTGGCCTATGCAATAGAGGATTTTATCGATTTGCATAGACTTGAAATTGCCATGGCCAAATAAAAGTTGTGAAAACGCGTACGTTCGATAATATATGATAATAATTATCCTTATCTACTAATAAGTCCGTCACAGTCTCCGTATGGCAATTGTATACACTGAAATAGATTAAATTGCGATGTGCGTGAGGCTTGGGACACGATATGTCTCAAACTGTCCGCTGCTGTGTGAGCTCTGAAAGCTATCTCTTAAATTCATACGTTTGTGGTCCCCCGTGTCTCAATAAGGTCCGACAAAATCACAAATCTCTCTTTGGTTGCCTTTTCTTGGTCAGTATCGTGAGTCATAAACTTTGAATATGACATATTGAATTTAATCAAATCATTTATAATTACAAATAATTTATAATTTAAAGCCAACAGAGTCTCAAAAATAAAAAACATAATTAAAAGATCTCATTTTTAATAAAAAAATGTTCGTTCATATAAAAAATATCTTTTGAATAATCAATAAAGTACTATTATTAGACGTTAAAATAAAATCCATTTAAAACGCAACTAAATTGTAAAATTATAAATTACAATTTATAATTATTCTAATAAGTATTTTATTATTCTAATAAGTAGAATTCAAGGTTAAATTTGTGTAAATATTATAACTTAAAGTATTAAACCATACTAAACGAACGAGACCTACGTTGTTTATCATATTATTATATAATTTATATATATATTATTTAACTTTATACGTATAAATATATAATTATTCAAATTATATAATAGTCTATAATTGTAAAAATATGTAAAATCAATATCATAAATGATATATATAAATTACGTAATATAAAATTTAATATTAAATAAAAGCTCGGTATATTTAATGGCACGAACTAAAGAAGGACATCGTTGTACTGCGGGCTTTCGTTTACATGCCTACTTTTTAAAAAATACAAATATCATACATACAAAATACGAATACAATATATGCACATCTTTACGTTATGTATCTATGCAACCTACGCGCCTTGTAAATGGAAATAAGTGGACTGCGAAAGACACTTATAACGATAAGATTTCAGGCACACGAATGATTTTTTGCCACACAATTATTTTGCAGCAGAAAACCTGTCGATTCGATAAAATGCTTTGCATATGCGAGAATAGATATTATTATTAGTACGCGAATAGAAGAGATCATTTTATCGCGATGGTTTCAAATGCAATGTGTTTCCTTTTCACAATGGTATAAAACATGCGTGTTTATGCGCGATATGCGCAGGAGTAGTGAAAGAATATCGATTTTAGTGAAATTATGTTCATTCTATATTCTAAAATGATTGCTGAACGATCAAATACAAGTGGATTGTATGACATGTAAATTAAGAAAAAGAAAGAAAAAAGAATTTTGTACACAAGATTTTCAAATATATATGAAATAATAAAAACATAAAAAATATAATTTGTATTTATAAATTTTGTATTTATAAATATTTAATTTTTAATAAGTATTTAATTTCTTTTAAGTTAATTACTTTACAAGATATTCTTTCGCTACTCGTGTGTGTATGCAAATTACCTACAAAGCCAGAAAATCGCTCGTGTGCAAGAAGTCTTACTCATATCCTTGGGACGACCAATCTTATCTATTATCCATCAATCTAGTTCAGAAGAGAACCATATGATTGATTGTAATCAGAAAAATATTATAGAAATATTCTCTTTTTTTTATCATATGTACTTATGTATTTAAAAAATTATCTTCATGAATTTTTTACTTTAAGCATAGTTTGTTTTTGTTCTGTTTTGTTTAAATTATTATTAAATATTTTTTCTCTCTCTCTTTACTAATGCAAAGAACTTCTTCGTTAAATTATTGTTCCATATTTTTCGTATTCATAAAATATGTTTGCAATTTGTAGATTTATCACGACATTCAATATTTGCAGATAGAATCTAATAGAAAATATTCAAATTGACAATAAACATAAAGTATTCTATTTTTTGTTATTTTATTTATGATAGAATTCTTTATAAGCTATAAATGAGTATTTGCAAGATGAATGTTCACCTTGAATTTTATCGATATTAAACATGGCAACTAGTAGAGCAAAAACGAGTTTTATAAAAAAAAAAAGAAAAAAGTTTTTCAATTCGCATGTCATTCGTGCTAGACTTTTAACATTTTTATAACGTAAAAAAATATAAAATATTTTATATTTTTTCGCTGGTTCTCTCTAGCACTGGATTGATGATATATATAATTTAAAATTTTGAAATTATTTACAAACGTGCGCATCGGGCACGAATTCCTTATAACGTCAATAGAATAAAAACCTCCGGCGAGGCATGTCTCAATTTCGGATCAACCTCTGTAAATGTGTTATCTACGTTTTGTTACCTTACTCAATTTTACACATGTGGTTATAATGTTTATAAATATTTGATTGCGTCATCAATCTTAATAAAATGACCTAGTAATACGTATATCTTTCTGTCACTTTTTTCATTATTCATACAAATTGCTTTTAAAAATTACCGAATAAAAAGCAGAATGAAATAATATTTGGTCGATTATATTAAATGTTACAACATTACCATGTAGTAGTCGTTAAATTTGCTGGATTTTTTATTTCAATAGAGAATATTGGCAGTCAATAGCGAAGTAAATGTAATAATAATACTTCCATATTCTTTTGAGGATTGTACGATGAGCTGTTTATGCGCACAATGATTAATTGTAAATAACATCCTTCCTATTCTACCATGGTCAAGCAATAACGATCACTAAATATCACCGTAATACAATGCGGAACGCTCAAATGCGACGTTACATTTTTACTCATATAAAAATATCTAGCAGAAACATTTCCAGCAAGTCCTCGATCCGCTTTACCGTCAGCCTCGCCGGTTAGGAATTTTCGTGTACCTATTCATAAATAACTCACGGAGCTCTTACCTGCAAAACTGAAGGCAATGCCTCGTGGTTTTGACGATACAAGCGACAAGAGTAAAATCGATAACGACAGTTCTCTGGAAGATTAAATTTTCGTTGGTTCGTTCGACGATTTCGCCTTTTGATGTCGCAGTTGTTCACTGGATATACCCGATCGATGATCAATCCTGATTTATCTTCCATTTGATGTTGGTCTGTTTTTCGATCGGGATGTTCCGTGCTACTTCTATCGACAGTGACACTACCTCCTCTCGGTTTCCGTCACAGGCGATAAGGGATTTTCCAACGATAATTGTCTGCCAATATGCAAATAAAGGAGAGATTAATTAAGGAGGAAGTTTATTAAAAAACAAAAGAGAATAATACTGCGGTGTATGTATGTATGTATATACATATAGTCGAGAAATTCAATTTCTAAAATTATGAACACGATTATTTCGTGAAGTTTTTTTGTTTATATTAGAACAAAACATATTCATTATTAATAAATTGCTCGTTAATGTTTATTTTCTACAAATAAAGCTTTTTTTATGAATAATTCTCCTATACAAATATTTTTGCATTCTATAATGATGCTTTTTATTCTCGGTTGATTTATAATGCATGATGAGTTGTAACCACACGCGATTTATTCTTTCGATGTACAAAAATAAATTTCTCATTATTGCTTGGTTTTAATATAAAGCATCGATGCATTTTGTAAATTCGACTGCATTTTACAAATTCGAAATATCTTGCGCGGATATAGCAAACATTTATATACATATATGTAAAAAATACTATAAACAGATCGTAAAAATCCTCTGTCGAATATTTGTGTTTATTTCTGTAAATGCTTGTTTCAACAAACAAACAATTCTACTAAATAGAATTCTATTGTACACAACGGGTACAAGAGAATTTAAAATGGTATTTGAAAAATATATGTAGGACTCCCTTTTCCTCTTCCTGAATAGCGTAACGCGCGCGTATTTACCTGCCGCTTGTGTGCCAATCGTAGGAATCCGGCGCGGAATTGCTTCTCCCGGCCTCGTGAAAACGTTCTGCTTTCACATCCCTCATCGCATCACTGTGCGGCGAGGATGATACGCCGACTTTTGGTCCTGTCGCCGGCGATTCCGTGCCGGCGTCGTTGTCCGCTGTCCGTCCGAGCCGCTTAGGCAGAAATGGATTCTGGGAAGCAGAAATAAGTTCGCGCTCTTATTTCTTCGTTTTATGCTCTAGTAATCCTGAGAGACGAGATGTCGAGTTTTCTTTCGTAAAGTTCGCAAGCTGGCTGTCTGCATCAGCGATAAAAATGGAACGTTGTTTTAAATTACCGGTCGCCTGTACTAGTCTCAATGCATATGAATGATAGAAGAAGGGAAAAGCAGTTCATGAAAAGTCGACGTTAGTTTAAGTGTAAGAACACGTTTCACACGCTTGAAATCATCCAAATACATTTTTAACTAAAATTATGATTGTCTGTTTCTCCATCTGCATTCTCAAGAAAAACTTATACGAAACTTAAAGTTGACTATTTTCATTGTTACTTTCTTTTCATGGTTTTATTTGATTCTTGTGCTGTCAGAAATTTTACAAACGGGTTAAAAGTACAATGATTAATTACATGTCGATTTGGTACTCTCTGAATCTCTTAGAGTGAAATTTCATTCCAAAAGATTGAAAATAGAGCCGCAGTCTTTGAAAAAGAGTGGAAAATTTTCACTCTTTTGGAGTGAGATTCACTCCAAAAGAATGAAACCTCTTCCTTTTTTTGGAGTAAGATTTCGTAGAATCATCCAGAATCTCATTTCAAAAAAGTGAAAATATTATCACTCCTTTTCAAAGACTGGTTCAATTTTCACTCTAAGAGATTTAGAGAGCAGATTGTATTTTAAAGAAGCTCCCTTGTTGCGAAATCTTCAGCATTTCACGATAAGTGCTGAATAAAATATCTTCATCAGCACTATAGAAGTATTATTGATGTATAGATAAATTATATAGATTATTAAAAAACCGATGTAATCCGATAATATGTTGAAACGATCGACCTTCGACATTTGTCGATTGATCGCTTTCGGTAACCATTTATTATAGAGAGTACGAGTGAAACAGTTGCGCGAAATATCACCGTAAGTTTTTCGCGTTTTGTAAAACTAAATCTATGATACAACTATACAACGTTATCGACATGCACTCGTCGAAATCGTCGTGTATAATATTTACGCGGGTATGTCAAAGTCAAAAATGTCAGAACATATTGTTGCGACATTTCGCGAAAACGATTGTACGTTTACTTCATTCAATCCTTCTATTACGACGCACGTATCTCCGCTTTCGCTTTTGGATGAACGCAAATCGTTCCGTAGTAGAGAACGCAAACAGCTGTTGTTGATAGTCATCATAATTGGCATTCCATACACGGCATACGCAAATCGATCCCTATATTTGAATGCTCGTGAAATAATAGATATTAATGACTATCGTAGAAGATGTTAGTACGCTATATAAGCGCAAAATGTTCCTAGAATGTTATATGGATATTATTAAAAAAAAAAAAAAAAAAA